GGAGACACATCATCCTTATCGGCGTATGATTTATTTCATACAACATCATATTTCTTGAGACCTGCAACGTGTGATGCCATTTTCCCTTCACCTTTGAAAAATTGAGCAAGAACTACATCACTCACGAAAACAGGGCCATTTGACAAGGGCTGCTGGACGAGTTGCGGGGCGGGCTGATTTCCAAGTGGGCGGAGCTGTTCTCACTTTGAGAGTGGAGAACGACTAATGAAACTACGGTCTCTTCTTGTTGTGAAATTGCTAGCTTTCAGTTTACACTGACCCCTTGTTCTACTTGATTGATTCGTTGATCGATTATTGATTGACTAATTGACTCGTTGTCTTGTTTCTACTCGAACTTTATCCTTGAACTGACTTTTCATGTATTACGCTCCATTAAATGCTCCATTCAAGTGCAAGACACAGTCCACGGAGATCGTAGTGGCAGAGAAATGGGAGGAGACAGTCAACTGTTGTGCCTTCCTCATCATTCCCTCTCCTGTTCAGCACTTTCAGAGTTAGGGGCGCACCGTTAGGGGAAGCACGGTAGTTGACTGTCTCCGCCCACACGATCAGCATGAACCATGCCTTTGAATCTGCAAAACATTCAGGTAATCATGCTGACGTTATCAGAAAAAGGTCGAATTGTTCTACGCCTTCAACTTTACGCTATTTACCTCGTATTACAGACAATGTATCAAGCATTAATGAAGGTGAGATTCTTCGTTTGAATCTTCTGTGTTTCTCGTAAAACCATTAATGAGGTGGAAGGTGACTGTTTGGTATTCCGACTTACGATTTTCGAGTAATTTGACGCTTTGTTGTACACCGAGTTTCGATATTTGTTGAAGGCACAGTGTGCTACGGGAAAATGGGGTGCTAGCGTACAGCTCTCAAGCAGGAGTTTTAAGTGGCGCGTATCTGAAGGGAAAGAAAAAAAGAGGTCAAAGACGCCCTTAACCCTTGCTGCATCTCCATAAGGGTTTTCGTCGTTTCTTATGCAACGCTGTCCTATTGAAGTTGGTGGAAGTGGAGTGGGCGGAGTTCCTGCGCATAAGGTGGGGCGCACCTCACGTCACAAGCTCCTAGCCTAGTCTTCCCACATACGGAACGAGAGCAAATAACCCTTATTAGCTATAGACCTGTGCACCATACTCAAGGGAAGGCCTCTACCTAACAGCTACCAGATAGTCGCACACTGTGTCTTTCAAGGCAGTGGGCACGATTGCTGAGGGCGGGCAGTTACTGCCAACGTCACTGGTGGAAGGGCTGTGAGAGGGCGTGTGGCCACGCTCCACTCAGCCCTTCTGCCGTATACGTTGGTAAGAAGCGCCCGCCTCCAGCAATCGTGGCCCCTCCCTCTAAAAAATGCAACTGCTAGGTCTTAGAGAAGATGGAAAGGCTAGACTACCTCAGCGCAATGCTGCCTTTGCCTCATCTCCATCACTGTCACCCCCTAATCATTCGCTATTCGTGGATCCCTACCAGATTCTCAAACATCGCTGCAGAAGGCAAATACGCAATGATCCTATCAACAGCTGAACGCCAGAGCGGAGGAAAACACCATACAACTTGGTTAATTGAAGAAAAATGTACTATCAATAAACTTTCATGAACATATTTCTGATAGAAACAAGTTGCATTGTGACTATCGTAAAAATCAAATTGAAGAAACGTAAGTATGAGGAGTATTCAATGAGAATATTCGCGGCGGTACAATATACGCATGAACTGTGAAAATGAGCCCGTACTAGAGTCTTAAAGCATTCAATATTTCGAGTGAGCTTTTTTCATTGTATAGTAAAAAAAAAACATCAAGCTAGTTAGGAATCAACCAATCTAGAAACCCTGAGGTTAATGTGTAGCCCAGACTCCGCCTCACCTGTGAACTTAAAGGCACGCTCCGCGTTCAAAAGCTATGAGTTTTCTGCTCA